TGGATTTTTGCTGAGAAATACATTTCTGTCTCTGTTTCTCTGTCTGGTTTCACTCCCCAGTCTCTGTTTGCAATCTCTGCTTGGGATTTCAGGCGCTCTAACAAAGCACTCAGGCATCTTCTGCTCTCTTTTTCTCAGCCTCTCTGCCGTGGAAACATCCTCAAAACTGTAACTTTTGGTTAAAGTGATTGTTATGGTACAGCAAAAGAAAGACAGAAGGATTTGCCCTTCTGCTTATGACCCTCTGTGGAGTAGTTATACCAGCTCCTGGTTTTCCCAGAAAATAGAAGTTGCTAGTGCCTTTTCCTGGAATAGTATCAGTTATTTTCTTTCCTTTCTTCCTCCCTGCCTCCTCTCTGTCTTTTTTCCTTCCTCTCTCCCTCCCTTCTTTCCTCATTTTCCCTCCCTTCCTTCCTTCTCCCTATTCAAGAACTCATTTAGTAGTTTTTTCAAGACCTACTATGTGCCTTTCACTGTATTATATACCGTGAACATAAAGCTACACAAGACATAACTTATGTTTCTGTTAAACTTTAATAGTTTGTGTTTCTGCTCCCAACTGAACTTTAGTATCCATGCTGAAATTGATGTGTATCAGATGTCTAGCACTTTCACAGAGATTATTTTACTTAATTCCATCTTCCGCACAGAAGTAGTTATTATTACCATTCCTATAACACCGATGATTGAATTTGGCCTCACAGGGTTAAAATACTAACCCAGAGGCATTCAGAAGGAGTCAGGAACTTATTTGGATTCTTCTGTCTCCCAATTCAGCACTATTTTCCACTGTGTCTGCATATTGACTGTGAAAGATCATAGTCATTTATTCTTTCTAATCCAATGCAAGATGGCATCGTCTCTGCCATTGAATGAACAGCTGTTGATAGTTTGCACAGGTCTAAGCAATACTACACCACACATGTAATGTACACAATAAATACGTATGGAATAAGGTAAAAATTGTATTAAAATGGTTTGAGTAATTTATTGTTTCATATACTTGTATTTGGCAGCACTGTTCAGAATTTTCACATGCACATGTATTTTCCATATACAGGAAACTGGTCAACATTTTACTTTTTATGTGTGAAGAGCAAGGCGACAGCCAGGAATCAATCCTCAGACAGATCAGTAGACTTAAAACCATCCATAAGGGCTTTTCTGTGTTCTGGAAACAAGCGTATTCTGATTGAAGCTGGTTATAGAAGCCATTCAGAAAGCAAAAGTTCTTGGTACACAATGGATAAATCACTCTTATCAGACTTTTTAGTTTGAAAAAAAATAAATTATCAAAATGTAAAGAGAACAATCTAACAAATATTCATAGACTCACCCCCAGAAATTAAAATTGTCAACATTTTGTTGTATTTGTTTCAAGATGAAGAATAATTTTTAAAAAACATTATAAAGTTGGAATCTCTGTAATGTTTCAACCCTAATCCATCTGCTCCCACTCCCATTCTGGTGAGCACCATCAAAGATCTGGATTCCAATTCACTATTTATACATTTATACGAACACATATGTTTTCATAAACAAATTATACTATTGTTTTATATGTTTATTGTAAAGTATATATAATAGTGTCACACTGCTAGTGCCCTTCTGCATCTTTCTAAACATCATTGTTTTTGAGCTCTAAGTTGAAATATATATATATATAAAACATATATGTATATATATAAAACATATATATGTTTTTATATATATTCTAGCCCATTTCTTTTAGTAGCTAAATAGAATTTTGCCATGTGAGTAAAATATTATCTTATGCCATCTCCAATTTTTCACCTTTTGCATACTACACAGGTGATTACTAGGTGCCTTTGTAATTTTGCAGATCGGCAAATTGCTTACTGAAATGGTCACATCACTTATGTTCTCACTGTCAGTGCATTTGGGTACCCACCTCTCCACACTCTTTCCATTGCTGGATGTTGTCAGGCTTTTAAGTCTTTGCTAATCTGATAATCGACAGTATTTTCTTATTTCACTTTGTTTATCTCTGATTTACTGGTATAATCTAGCAATTTTTTTCATGTTTATTGGCTGTTCAGATTTATTTTTATTCTCTTGACTATTTGTAGGGTCTTATTGATAGATAAGAGAATCCATTCTGAATGTCAATCATTTAACTACTATGTAATTATCACAAATATCTTTTTTTCTTTAGCTATTGTTAATCACTTTTTTTCTGTAGAAAGGGCACACCAAATGTATAAATTTCAAATATATAAAGGGATTTATGCTTTCTAATCCAATGCAAGATGGTATCATCTCTGCTATTGAATGAACAGCTGTTGATAATTTGCACAGGTCTAAGCAAAAATTTCCCTACAAAAGCCTTTAAAGTTCTTCCCCAGACCCAGAGAATAGCACATTAGCATCTTGGGGTTAGACACTGTATTCTGTATATGCTATCCTGTAAATAGGTGGACAAAACAAGAAAAAAGGATTTTACAAACCAGTAGCTCATCAGGGTCTATTCTTCTCACATAGCCTCAAGGTAACTTGAAAGTAGATTCACTAAATACCACTTAGCGATCATTGCTTAGGCACCTTAGATTTAGAAGTCTAACCTTGATAACATCAAGCTATTCTACTTCTCTCTTCACTAAGAGCAGGCTTCAATTAGGTAATTATACTTAAAGTGTTCTAAGGAGTTTTTACACTTTTGCCTTCATCCTGATTGGATAATGGTTTGCAATGACTGGCTGAGTTATGAAAACACAAGCATGAGGCCAAAACTTGCTCTATTTTAATAAATATTTACAAGCATGATTGGCTATAAACTCGATGAGGTAAGGGCCTATGTTATATTGCTGGTGGCTTTGTCCTCAGCACTTGACATGGTTGGTAATCCTAGTTAGTGGGAATATAATGAACATTCTCAATCCACAAGTGTTTATTTGGATTCTAGTTCTGTGTAAGACACTTTATGTTCTGTGTGTTTCATGTAACAAAGTAAGCAAAATGAATAAAGTCCCTACCCTCATGACATTAACATTTTAGTGGCAGGAAATACTTAGATGATAGTGAGAGAGAAGTGACCATGAAGAAAAATAATGGAGTGAATGGGTTAGAGTTTTGTGGTGTGTGTGTGTGTGTGTGTGTGTGTGTGTGTGTGTGTGTGTTTCTATTGTAGAGATTATGGCCAAGAAGCTTCCTGAGACAGTCACAGTGATTACCAACATTTATTGGATAAAGGTATATAAAGCCTGAATGGCAAGTTTCCAAAAACAATTACTTCCATTTCAGGAGGTAAATTTCACCTCTTTGTTAGTAGGTGGGATGGTTTATATGGAAAAAATATATGATTAAAGCATTGCTTTTAGATTAGAAAAAGTCAATAAATGTGTAAAATGTGTTTCCTTTTCTCTGTAGAATAGTTCTCACACAGAGAGCAGCTAGCTGCATACAGCTTGGCGGTGGGCTTTGCCTGAACTCTTAATTATTTTGTGTATTTCTGACTACCTCTCTCTCCAGGAGCCCACTTGACCAGGATAGAACTTTAAGCCCATTGAATGTTCCCATCCTGTAAGACAACTATAAACTATGGCTTGTGGGATGATTCAACAGCTAACGACTGAGAAGCCTGTGAAGTGCAGTACTGGCATTCATGTTCAAAAACTGCCATTTGCACAACCAAAACCTTCAGACGATTAAGATTCTCTAGTCATTCACTCAAGGAAACTTTTTCTTGCTTCATTTACTTCTAAAACTCTTATTCAAGTTCCTAACAGTATCTAATAGGTGTTCATGTTTCTTGTTCTTTCCCCTTAATGCCATATTAAGATAAAAAAAGCATGCTGTTTTCTGGTTTGGTTTTGTTTTCCTAGACAAGTGTACTTAAACCACGGGTTTTCCCTAACTATCTTTTGATGAGTTTCGTAATTTATTTTTGCTTTAGGCAATACAGACACCTTCAAATTTCCTTCTTTAACAAATCTTTTTCAGAGTCTTCATTTGACCTGGCTGATGGAGTCCATCCACAGACCTAGGAGCCTGGTTGATTTTTGCACGGACTATAATCGTGACACATACCCCCTCTTTGAGAAACCAATTTCCAAGTGACGAGAACAAATGAATGTGTTCACTCATTGTTTGAAAAATGTTTTCACCCTTGGTATGTTCTCTGCTTCCTCTTTTCTTCGGGGTGTTCTTAATGAATACGGAATGTGACATCGGTTTTGCACACATATAGGTTTTTGTCTTAGATTTTAGGAAGTTATATCCTCATCCAACGTTTTCTTTTCTTGATTTATTCTTTTATATGAAAACCCCTCACGCTTAGCGAGTGCTCTCTCTCTTTTTAAGGTCATTTAGAAACGGAAACCTTGATTATGGAGGTTCTTTTAATTTTATCCCCCCTCCCCCGCACCCGGTACAACTCACAGCCGAAGCCGCCGGCAACTGAGCTGAAAAAACCCGTGGCGGGCGCGGAGAGGAGGGTGTCATGTTGGCGACAGGCTCCTGCTGGCGGCCGGCGAGCCCGCGGGGGTTAGCCCGGGCACAGGGGTCAGCGCCCTCGAAGTTGGGGGCCTCGGGCGGAGCCGCCAAGTCGGGGCGATGGAGCGTTCCGCTGTCCTCTTCTCTCCAGGGGTTAAAATCGCCTCATCCGTGGGGATCCGGTGGGGACCTAGCTCTTCTCAGTGCAGTCTCCGCTACTGAGCTAGGGGCTCGACGCCGGAGACGCGAATTGGTCGGACCTGGGGTGGAGGAGGAATGAGGGGCCAGGAGCCGGGGGGGATTTCCTCCCGCGCTTCCCTCTCCAACGGGAGCGGAAAATGTGATTTGCTGTGCATTCCAGGCGCGGTTCCCTGGGGTGACCTCTCCCAGCCCTCCCGGGCGGGGGGAGCAGACAAAGAGGCGAGGCGGGCGGGGAGGGGACCCCACATGGAAGCAGGACGGGTACAGGGGGCGGGGGCAATACCGGGAAAGGGGGCGGATAACGGGTCCGACGGCGGCGGCGGCGCCTGGCCAATGGAGAGGCTCGGCCCGGGATGCAGTGCTTGGCCGCCGGCATTTAAACGGGAGACAGCGAGATGCCCGACACTCGGTGCGCCCTTCGCGGACCGGACGATTCAGTGCACTTGGTTAGCGTCACCCTCAGTCCGGCTGCGCCGAGCCGAAGCGACTTGAGCTGTGGCCGCACCCAGCACCACGCATCGAGAGGTAGGGCCGAAAGACTCACTACACTGACAGGTGAGCGCAGAGACACCCTGTAGGGAGGGACGGAGGGAGGGGTGTGTGTGTGTGTGTGTGTGTGTGTGTGTGTGTGTGTGTGAGTGTGTGTGTGTGCAGGCATTAGCAAAGGATCCCCAAGTCCCTCTCGATTCAGGCAGCCCTCGGTGCACCCAGGTCCTGCGATTCTCTGGGGTGAACCCTGAAGAACCATCACGGGTCCTTCCCGTCGAGGTCGTAGATGCTATGACCTGGCTCAGTTGGGTCTGTTGGAAAACCTAGGGGGAAAGGGTGTCAAGAGTGGGCAGTCCCCTGCATCTCATTCCCCCCTCCTGCAGCCCCATGAACATGCTCCCAGTGCTCCTGGCAGCAGCCTCAGCTTGACTCGCACGTACCTCGAAAGCGCGGAGTCTGGGCTGCTGGAGCTCGGGAGCCGCGGGATCTTGAGCGAGGGCTGCTGGAATTTGCCGCTAGACGGCCGACAGCGCTGCAAGTCGTATCGAGAGGGACCCCTGTATTTTAAGCACTGCGCTGCGGCTGCGGGCGTTTTAAGGGCCCTGTGGGACTCCAGAGAGTTACCATGCTACAAATCCTGGGATCCTAAGACTTAGTGATGTATTTGCTAGTTGGGGAGGTTAGATAACTCTGGCTAGAGAGCTCTGGGAAGAGCGGAGCCGCGGGGTTTAGCCACAAACCCGAGGGCCCAGTAACCCGAAGCTGGAGTGCAGTAGGCGGTCCTGGGGACCAGATCTTGCGAACCCTCAGAGCTCACTCGGCACACAGCACACACCACACAAACTAGCGTTCTGTCCGCGCACTCGTGAGTGCTGGGTTTTCAATTCGAGCCTCTCTAGGTTCCACGCGCGCCTTGACTTGCAGACGTGCGGGCGCCGGGAAGCGACGGTCGGTCAGATAGTTCCCTTTTCTGCCGGTGCCCCTTAATCTGTATCCCGGTGTCACCAGTCTCGCCTTGATACGTGCGCCTGGCTAGCGACAGAAGACGTTGGGACTCCTCTGTGGGAGGCTGGTCCGCTGCTGGAATTCGCTGGTAGCTCCTATTCTCACCCGCTGCCTGGCTCCTAGCTCTCGAGGAGGCAGCGAAGGGAATAAACAGGGCTGTCACCTCTCCGGTCATAATTATTTGTAGACTTCAGGTTTGGAATCTGAGGCCCAACAGCTCTCGCTTGGCACTGTCTTCAGATCTCATTTCGCCTTGGGGGCGCCCCAGCTTGGAGTTTCCCGGTGCCAGGCTCTGGTGAGGGTCCCTACAGAGGATTATGAGAATGTGAACAGCCTCTGCTGTGAGCCCCTTCCCGCAAGCTCAGGACCACTCTCTGGTCTGACCCAGCTGCCATTTGCCCTTCCTTGACCGACACCAAATCTCAGCTCTTTTAGGCAGAATTATAGTCTCAAAGTTAGGAATGAAAAATCTGCTCTTAATAGGTCCGAGGGCAGAGAAGCGACCATCAGTGAGTAATTGGATCTCCCGCTGGAAACAGCAAATTCAAGCGGTGTGCGTGTCTGTTTATGTTCCCCAGAGATGGTGCCAGGACACAACTGATTTAAACGGTCTATTGTGTTGAGTGGGTCACCAGGGTTTTATGCTGTCCCAGAGACCCTAGAGTAGTGGCTTCCTTCTGGCTGTACACAAAAGTTAAATAAATAGCGTAGAAGAGGTTAAGATAACCCTGGTCCCAGGGTGAGGAGTCTTCTTTCACCCCAGGGCTGCAGGGCTGCCCTCCTCCCTTTTTTTTTCCCCCTGAGGAGCGGGAGCTTGGAGGACTTGATGAAACAGATTTTTCTAAAAGCAAAGAGGGAAAGATACTAAGAGAACTAGATTCTCCTCACTCCCTCCCCCAGCCAAGTCTACAACTGTAAGTGATATAATTACTATCACTGGATAAAATGCACTGTTCAATTCTTAGTATCAAGTAATTATTTAAGGATTCTTTAGAACTGTAGGGTGGTGTTCCCCACCTCAGTGTGTGTGTGTTTAACCTCCAGGTCATTGTAGGAATTAGAGTCTTTTGTAAACTTTGTTATTTCACAGGTTTCCTATTTTCTTAAAAGTTCATTTTGAGTGAAATGTTTTGGTAACCCACAATCTGTAGGAAATCCAAGGTTTGCTAATGTAGTCTTTATGTGAGTGGTTGTACAGGGAAGAATAGAAACCTGTTACATCCCCATGTCCCTCAATGAGAGCCTCCTGCACCATCTTCTCAACTGAAGCCATCTTGACTTCAGTTTTAATGGTCAAAGCGGTAAAAATGTGAAGAAATTTCATGTCATACTGCTCTCCCAGCAAATTCTTGTTGACAGCAAAGCTGTGGAGAATGTTCTAGAACCAAGAGTAAAAGATAAGACATAAACCTTTCCTATAAAGGAAGGGAGAGGTGGCAATTAGGGGAGGTGACTAACTGGAAGGCACAGATCAGGCAGGTGCTACCAGCCATATCTTATATCTGTGGGGAATTGTCTTTTAACACATGCTTGTAGAAATGCAAAGTACAACAAGAATTCCTGGGACAAAGAAGTCTTTTTCTTCACATGTTAAAGATACAAAATAGATAGTTATTTGATTGACAGTATTCTATTTTATTGCATTAGAAAACAAACCCATGTGTCTCTTAAATACCTTGCTGGGTGTCAGTGGAACAGTAGTTAAAGACACGTTGGGGGGTGGGGCTAGGAAGAACTGAACTTAAATCCTAGCTCTTCTCTTATAAGCTTGTGACCTTGGGTAAATTCCTGGCTGTAAAGACAAAGACAATATTATCTACCTTGTATTTTGTTGTGCAAAATGATAATATTTAACACAATTTAGCATTACAATGCTTGGCATAGTAAAGGCTCAAAATAAAAGATGACTCTTATTATTTGTGGAGTTGTTGGGTGAAATAGTAATATGATACTGCACCAAGATATATCACAGATGGTTCTGAATTTCTTCTTGAATCCCACTTACACAGTGACTAACACACATTTCTCTACAATACACAATCTGTAACTTGACTATCTCTTCAATAGTGCTTTTGAGTGAATACTTAATATTTATTAATTTCTGACTCATTTCCTGTTGACCTCAAGAATTGTATACAATCATTAGCCTCACTAAATAATAACAATCTTCCAATGAATTTTGAGCTCTTGAGATAGTTAACCACTAGGAGGTCTCCTTCCTGCCCTATGAAGTATTGGGAAGTGGCCTGATTTGGCCTAAATGGTCTTCAGAATAGGGAGGTTTGGTTAAGAGATGTGCAACAGGTAGGGAATGTGTTGGTATGCCAGCTGTCAACTCTTTTGATATCCTTGGTGCAAGTTTTCTAAAAAAAAAAAATCGACCCTATTATTAAGAAATTTCTCTAATTTCTAAAAGTTGATTGATTGCCTTTTGAAAAAATTAAAGGTAAAATTAAAAAAATAATCTGTATTCTTCCCAAATATTTAGTCCTGAAAAAGAGGAATAGATTTTCTTCCAAAATCTGGCCTACAAGTGGAACATTTGCATAATTCCATTATGTTTTATGCTGGAAGAATAATTTGATGTATGCCTGTTGAATATCTTTCTAAAAGTTAGTTCAACAGGAGGAATTAAGCAGAAGTTCAGGCACAGATATCTGGCTTTCCCTGTAATTTTCACTCAGAACTCCATTTAACTGAGTATGAACAGGTCACTTGGCTAAAATGAGAAGTTCAGTGTGAAGAGTGCTGAAAGGAACTGGCCCAGACTTTCCCAAAGACAACAGTATTGGAAACAGATCACACATATTATTTTTATTTCCCAGTCTCCAGAAGTAGAGGAAGGTTTTGTACTTTGAGTCTTTGCCGGGACTGAAATAATCATCATGACCTATCCAGGAGTGAGATGGTTACTATGGTTTGTCTTTTTGATGGCATGTACTCTTAATCACTGGGAACTGGAAATCATGAGGGAGAAAAGACATGCTTTAAAAGTATGTCTTCTGAGATGTGAAATGGATTGGAGAGGAAGACAGTAGGGTGGGATGGAATGAGACTTGCTATTACAGAATAGTTGCAGAGAAAGCTTATTATGCAAATATGATCACACTACTTGGAGAAGCAGAAATCCACTAAGGGATTGTTAAGATGGACTTTGGAAAGAATAATAATACCACCTGCAAAGGAGAATCAAGGGATTTGTTGGATTTGTTATGATGCACGCTGGGTTTATGAGCTTTAATTTAATGATGTGAATAGGTGACTTTATAAATGGAAATTACCATAAATTGTTTGCAGCTAATTGTTGGACATGGAGAATAATTCATAGAAACCTAAATACAGATCAGCATTTGGACTGCTTTTTGATTATGAGGCAACTGCCAGGTGTTCTGTGGAAGAAATTGTCTTCAAGGAATTTACATCTTGATTTCCTGTATATTTGTGATATTTACAAGAGTGAAACACTCCTATTCCTTCACTGAATGATCAAGACTGTTTTGGGGGTGGGGAGGGCATGGATGATTGACCACAATGGCTGACACAGCTCTGGTTCCAGTACTAATTCCAGTTCTCAATCCCTCAATCTTGTTCATATAGAATATCCACAGTGCTTCACAGTACAGCTGTTCTCTAAGAAGCTGAGGTCTCTGTTGATTGACCTTCTTGAAGTTAGTTTTTATTTTTCTTTGAGTAATAACTATAAAGTTTAATAGCTCAAAAGCCTCACAACAAACACTGAAGATATTTAAAGAACAGACTTTTTAGAAATGAAAAATATTTCATTTTCCACACCTAATAAATCTTATTGTGAGGAGAGTTTACTTTTCTTAAAAATAAACAAAAAACCACCTGTCACTATAGACCCCTTTGGCTTACAGGGTTTGTATGCATACTTCTATAAGAACAATGTTTGTCTAAATTGAAGCTGAAAACCAGTCTACTAATTTTGAATTCATTGCTTTGTTGTCAGTTTCTACTACAGTATATTCAGTAGCTTCAATTAGGAAAGAAAATCCACATTATTCCACATGTTACCAGTAAAAAGTTGGGAACACTTGAGTTTTCCTAGAAAAAGAAAGTCAAGTGGTAGGAAGCTCTTTAGGCTAGGAGAAGTTTCCCATACCAAGGGTCACAAACCAAAAACATTGCAGTTGGCTTTTCTACACTGGCACTAGTGAAGACATTTTAAAATGCAAAGGACAGAAACTGTATCAACCATAAAAATCATTTATTTAATAAATTTTAATGCAAAATTCCTCTGTGCCAAGCACTGATGATGAGCAAGCCCTCATCAACTCTCAGAGTGGATATTGTTCAATAACTTAAGTGAAAATGTCAGGAAGGAAAGGTTGAGTATAAAAAGTATCCTAAGTTAGTCCAGAGAAATAAAATTACATTTTGTGGATAGATGTTTGTGGAAGGGGTGATACCTGTCATATGCAATCAACATACATTTCAGTCAACCTCAGAATGGCCTGTATGATGGTGGGCTTGCGGTGGGGTGGGAGTGGGGTGTGCCGTCCTGGTTGGGAGGACTGAATTGGACTATAGGTCATTTTCAGTAGGTTTAGAATAAGATTGTGGGCATAAATCTTATGATTCCTCCTTTGAAATGCTCAGTGAATGAGTTTTATTTTAGATCTTGGCCCTGAATTGAGTAAACAGCAGAAACTTGTGAAAGCTTCTCAAATTCATGATATATTTGCCCAGGAGACTGAATGGTCATGGCTCATGTTCTCCTAGTCTCTGGAGAAAATCAGTACTGTTTTATAACTGAACTTTTCTTATAAGTGATTTTTTTTAAAAAAGACAAAACAAAGAAATTAATTTTTTGTTGTTGTTGGGGGCAAAACCAACTCTGTTTAAAGAACAGGGATGTTGTAACATAAACTGACAAAAGCCAGGGAACCTACAGTTGGAACAGGAGCTAAATGTCACATTATCAGCTCCAAACTTGAACTTTCCCAAAAGTATTAAGATAATGTTGGAAAGATGATGACATTTAAGGATGTTTTAAATGTAATATTTAATTATCTTAGTTTGACATTAGCCTTTGGGCTGAATAGTCTTTACTTACCAGAGGCTGTCCATTAGAGAATGTAGATACTACCCTGCTTTTGTCTTTGAAAGAAAATTACTCAAGATAATCATACCGACTTGTCAGGTTTCATGGGGGAAAATTTTAAGGTTACTATTACATGGCACTTAGGGGTCATCATGTCTAAGCTAGTGTTTGGAAGAGCAAAGAAATAAGTACTTCCTAGCTATGTTCTTCAGCTCAGGAAACCACAGGAGTGGGCCAGAGGAGACCTCAGAAATCAGATCAGATGTTGTGATGATGTGGGGAGGGACCCTGTGAATTTGAAACTGCATTCTAAAAAAGAAAATATGTCCTTTTTCCATGTATGCATGGTATGTCAAAATACATTCTACCGTCTGTCATGTATAACTAAAAAGAGCAAATTTAAAAAAAAAAAGAAAGAAAGAAAAGAAAATACATCCCCATTTAAACAATCCCTTTATACCCCATGACCCCAAGTGCTACAGGCCTCCTATAGACTGAGGACTCAGAATCAGGACAGATTGAGGACTCAGAATCTGCATTTAAACAAGATCCCCCTTGAGGGTTGGACTGTCCAGCCCAGGATAGTCTGATGCTTCTCTCTTGTACTCTCTAGCTCTTCTCCTTCCCATTTTCTCTCCTTCTGCTCTACCTCTCTGAAACAATCTAAGAGTCTTTCTTTCCCTGATATACTTTGTTCATTCCATTCTTTTTTCTCTCTTGGATAAAAGCCAGTTATTTTAAATTTTCCCTCTGCCTGATATATTTATGTCACCATTCATATGCCCTTCTGACCTATATCTAGCTCTAGACCCACCCACATAATTCATTGCCATTAATTTATTCAACACGCCTGTGGTGTTTATTAATGCAAATTTTTACACATATCTGTTCTATCATGCTCATTTTTTAAAAAATCATGTTTCCTTGTGTTTTTTGTTTGTTTGTTTTTAGACACGGGGAATCACTGTGTTGCTTAGGCTGGTCTTGAACTCCTTGGGCTCAAGCAATCCTCCTGCCTCAGCCTTCTGAGCATCGGGTTTACAGGTCATTTTTCTACCTTTTAAACTTTATGCACACACACAGACACATAGGAGAATGACATTTTACCACTTAAAAAGTAGAGAAGTATATCCTATGATGTAAAAAGTGATAAGAGGAATATCTGGACCCAGTTTCAAGATGAGAATAAGTGAGGGGTGGAGGGATCTTTAGAGTTATGTGATCTGCCTGATGTAGTCATTTGTTCTATCCACAAAATACTGCTATCTGTATGTGTTTATCTAGTTCTCAAGTTACTATTATTTTAAAATCAATTTTGACCTGAATGAACTCTTTGGGAGAGGTGTTTGTATCTCCGCTCCCATAGAGTCATGTATCAAGAAAGTGAGTTTATGAGGCTGGGGTTGTAGCTCAGTGGTAGAGTGCTTGTCTAGCATGTGTGTGGCACTGGGTTGAACTCCTGGCACCCCCAAAGAATTAATAAATAAGCAAATAAAATAAAGGTATTGTGTCCATCTACAACTAAAAAATTTTTTTAAAATTAAAGAACAAAAAGAAAGTGAGTTTATCAAGGTCAGACAGCAAGTGGCTGTCCCAAGACTACAACCAGAAACTGGGCTTGCATCTTCATCCAGTGTGCTTCCTGTTAAATTGTCCTCTCTCCTGTCACATGCTTTCTGGCCTTCCCATGCATCTCTGTTTTCCAATGCCTGGTAAGAGTGAAAAGCTTCATGGCATCAAATACAAGAATAAATACAGTTAAGCGACCGTAATACAAAGTCAATGTAATTGGGTGTGAGAAATCAGCAAGGAAATCTCCACACAAGGGTCCTGGCTGAGTTTAAATATTGGCTTGTTTATTGTGGAGCCAGACTGGTTACTTTCAGAGCTTGACATAGTGGGAAGCCAACGGAGTATTTTACATACAGTGTTTGACAAGCGCCACATAAAATGTTAGGTGCTATCATTGATTTTTTTTCTTTAACTCACTCTTCCATTTGTCCTCTCTTCCCTCTCTGCTTCCCTTTAGTATGAGCCGCACCGCCTACACTGTGGGAGCTTTGCTTCTCCTGTTGGGGACCCTGATGCCGGCTGCAGAAGGAAAAAAGAAAGGGTCCCAAGGTGCCATTCCCCCGCCAGACAAGGCTCAGCACAATGACTCCGAGCAGACTCAGTCGCCCCAGCAGCCTGGCTCCAGGAACCGGGGGCGGGGCCAGGGGCGGGGCACTGCCATGCCAGGGGAGGAGGTGCTGGAGTCCAGCCAAGAGGCCCTCCACGTGACCGAGCGCAAATACCTAAAGCGAGACTGGTGCAAAACCCAGCCGCTTAAGCAAACCATCCACGAGGAGGGCTGCAACAGCCGCACTATCATCAATCGCTTCTGCTATGGCCAGTGCAACTCCTTCTACATCCCCAGGCACATCCGGAAGGAGGAAGGCTCCTTTCAGTCCTGCTCCTTCTGCAAGCCCAAGAAATTCACCACCATGATGGTCACACTCAACTGCCCCGAACTACAGCCACCCACCAAGAAGAAGAGGGTCACACGTGTGAAGCAGTGTCGTTGCATATCCATCGATTTGGATTAAGTCACATTCAGCCTGTCCTAGGGATGCAGCCCCAGGCAGGCCCAGAGCCACACCTAAGCAACCTGATTCTTACTTGGCTTAAATCTAGAGGCCAGAAGAAAAAGCGGCTGCCTCCCAACCAGAGCCTGCTTGTCCGTAGTTTGTGTGCATGAGTCTGCCTGGGTGTCTGAGGGTGTTTTCAGACACCAAAGGAAACAGTCTCTGATAGAGTTCACTTCCTACTATTATCTGCTTTAAACAGGGATGGTCAAAATGCCCACACCACCCCTGGCATCCACAGAGGCAGGGCTGTGGTCTGGATCTGCCTTTGTCTTCCATGTGCCCCCTGGGGACCAGGATCTCCCTTCAGAATGAATGTTAATGGAAGAGGCTACTCTGAGGGCAAGAGACTCATTTGTGTGTTGTGTTAGACTCAGAGACGTTATTTTCAGCTTTCTTCCTCCCTTCTTTCTCTCTTTCACACTCCTTCCTTTCTTAGGTTCTCAGAGTCTATTTCAGTCTCATCCCATGTCTGCCAAGGCTTCTAAATTAATTTGATTGACCATGGATGTAAACGTTTTTCATATTGTGAAGACTCACCAGATTCTGGGGAGGCTGGTGTGATTGATGACAATCAGGACAGGGCAGCGACCAAGAGAGCATTGAGGGTGAGGACCAGTCACGGCCGGCAGAATTCAGCAGGGAGATGTGCAGAGAACTGGAAGGCCTAGTCCAAACACAGCGAGGCCCATGCTTCAGTGAAAGGGTTTCCTGGTATTTAAAAGAACCCAAGTGAACAGAGGAGAAATAAGATTGCCAAAATATCATTGACTTTGGCTGTCACTGGGATCTACCAAAACTAGCTATAACCCAACACCAAACTTAAATATCGACCACCCCTGTTTTCAGAACCAAGTAATCAAGCGAAACCCAAATAGCTCCGGCTGTTTTGTCCCACAGGTGGACAATTGATGTAGTTTAGAACCTTCCGTGCAGGAATAGAAAAAAGCCCAAAACTTCCTAGGTTGAGGTACTAACATTTTTTCCTTGGTTATAATCACCTTTTCCTCAAATCATTGTTCCTACAAAATGCTCCCGAAAGCCACAACCCTGTATTAGAAACATTCCGCATCTGCTGAGTATACTTGACAGGAAAGGTCAGTCTAAGCTGAGAGTTTAGGGCCTGCTCCATTTTAGCTATAAACCTATTTGGGGTGGTTTTGTATGGCCTCTTGTTAGAAGACTGAACTAGAGAGAAGAGAGAGTAAGGAAATAAGCAGGATTGCCTCTGGCATGGTAATAGTTAGCTTTTAACACCTGGAGGAGAGGTGAGGGGTCTGACCTCCCCTTCTTCATATGTTCTCTGGCATGGTAATAGTTAGCTTTTAACAAGGACCCTTGGAGCTGTCCATCTGCTACAAGTGGGATCTGTGGGACATAGCAACCACTCTGTACCTACCGGAGGTGCTTTCCACTGAGGAAACTTGGGGCTGCTTGCAAAATGCCTATATAGACTTTTTCTAATGACCAAAGTGTAGGGTATGAGAACCTTACTGCACTTTGAATTTGGCTAAGCTATTCTTTTCAAGCCTGAAGTTCTATATATAAATGCCCCATTGTTTTTTTTTTTTTTTGCCTTTATCTTCTCAGCTTTTGTAGCCAAGTCAGTGTCATTTGGAAAACAAACATCAGAGATTTGGGATTCAGTTGCCCATCAAGATTCCAGCATTCAAAGAACCATTGCAGTTAAAGAAGCTGTTTTTATGTTGCTTTTGTTGTGGGTTAGTGCTCTCCCATCTACCAACAGGAGCCATGCCTTTAGACAGAAGGCATGAACACCCAAAATGTTGGGTCTAATTTTAAATATTTATAAATCACTACTGATGATTCTACGTTAGGCAAATTCATGCAAACACATAGTCTATGCATTTCATATACACTGTATTCTCCTGCCCTAAATCTTTGTATCATCCACATCCTCCAACAATAAAGCACAGCATGGATTTAATTAAGCACACAAATGCAAAGGCAGAATTTTGAGGGTGGGGGAAAGGAAAAGAAAGGGGAAGAAGCTTTAAATATAAAACCACACCAGAGAGGAAAAATGACATTCAGAACCAGCAAACATTGAATTTCTCTTGTTGTTTTAATTCTGCCACAAGCATGCAATTTTGTTAAAAAGAGATGACTTAAGTTGGCAGCAGCAATCTTCTTTTAGGAGCTTGTACCACAGTCTTGCATGTAAGTCAGATTTGGCGCAAGTAAAGAGAATTTCCTCAAAATTAACTTCACCAGAATAATCAGCAGCATAAATACCCTAGAAGCACAGCACTAGCCAAAGAGGAAAATGTCTGCTTTTCTTACTGTGCCTGTATTAAGATGAGCACAAGTATGGTGTGGCTTCCAACATTTATTGAAAACACCATATCTGTTACTTATTTTATTGGAGTCACCAATGATGTAATGATATATATTTTTGCATTATTGTAGTAGGATTTTTCTATGGCAAGATAGTTGTGATCTTGATCTTACCTATCAAAAAAAAAATACCAAACACCAAAGATGAATTTTATGATGTACACTTTGTGCTTGGCATTTGAAGAGTAAATACACATCTTGTAAGTCTGTAAGTTGTTTTTTGTTACTGTCATTCTTCAAAGTTAAAAGTTGTATGAAAAAAAATCTGGAGGAAAGGATAATTTCCACTGTGTGGAATGTGAATAGTTAAACAAAAAGTTATGGTTATTTAATGTAATTATTAATTCAGATCCTTTGGTCATTGTGATTTCAAGCTTGCTTTCTTTTTCTCCTTCATATGACTTCCTCTGAGTTAGGAGAAGAAGCTGGCACATTGTATGTTGATAGAGACTTGTCAGGGCAGAGAAAAATACCATCTTACACGTATTAAGATGTGTTACATAGTCAAGACCTGAGCTATTATTTTTTTTAAATTGAATGGTCCTTAAAGGTTAACGTTTCTGAAGCAATATTAGGAAGGACTTTCAGTGTGATTTAGGGAGACTTAAGATGAGTGTGTACAAACATATAGTGGATAATGATGAGTAGTTCAGAGAGTCCTTTTAAAGAGGAAATTTAAAATGAAGTTAGGGACAAAACATTTCTAAGTGACCAGTTGATGCTAAAGAGTGAAAGGGTGAAAGTAGTTCTGTTGATTTGTTATTACTCAAGATATTTAATATCACCTACATTATATATTGAGTCTGCTTTAATCATTGAAAAACAACAAAGAATTGTCTAGACTGTGATGGAACTACCTTGCTGTATATGAGGGTGAGAGGGGATTTGATAGTGTCATAAAAGCTATTTTGGCTTAAAGTTTTACGAATCTGTAACTAGAATTTAATTTTCTCCCCAATAATGTTCTATATAATGTTTGCCAAAGAGCAACCAATAAATTAAATCTCTATTTTTTTTGTGTGTTCATGCTTTAACTGGCAGAGTTCCTAGGGCAGAGGTGGGGCAGAGATTTACTTGTCATGGGAATGGATGTAGAAATGAGACACTGAGGTCTCTAGTGACCTTTTGGGGGCATTTACTCTTTCTCCTAGACTTTTCAGATCCCATTTGATTCCTCAGACCATGCAGTTAGAGGCAAGGGAGAGTGGGTCTGTAGTCCAAACTACCAGCTTCCTGCCCAGAGCATAGCTAGGAAGCTGAGCTAGTGAGGGTGATGATGCAGCTTCATTGGAGTGGTGGAAGGGTTGCCTCACATGTATGATTACAGCTTTATTTCAGGGTGTTCTAGGAAAAAACAGCAGAAAGATCTTAGGATCCATAGGAGGATCTTTCTAATGATACAAGTGATTCAGTAAGACCATGAACTGCCTTTAAGATGATAAACTTCCTATGCTTGAAAATATTTTAAAGTATGCTATATATCATTTCAAAGTGAGTTATTGCCTGGGTATACAACTGAACTACTAGATTTCTGAGATCTCTTCCCACTTGGACATACAACATTATTCAGTATTAGTGCTCTGAAAATAACAAAAATCCCAGCAACTCTGTATGAAGTGCTTACTTATCACACTGTGCTGAGAGTTTAATTTGAATTGTTTCTCAATTCTCAGGATAGATCAATGAAGTGGTTACCATTATTATCATTGTGAAGAAGCAGTGAATTCATATGATCTTACTGAAGCACCGCGGCCCTTAAACAGTATGCAAAATTGGAAGAATTTCAAATTTTATTGGTTTGTTCTTTTAAGAACCCAAACCAAACTTTAAAAACAGATTTTATTGTTGACCATTCACGTCTAATGAGTAAGGCCATTCTGGGATTATAGTTGGCATCATCAGGACCCCAAACTTGGAAGCAAGTAACAAGGGGACAGTCGTCTCAGAAAAGCCACACCAGGAGGTAACATCTAAATAAGGCTTAAAATATAAGTGGAACTTGACAGAGAAGGGCATCCCAGGCTTAAAAATGGGAAAGCAAGCAAGCTTTTCAAGAATATCAGCTCTTTTAGCAATCTGAAGAGGATCTATTCAACAAAAAGGTGAAATATCTGTAAGAACAATATGCATTATGATCTTATAACTTACCCTGTTGGTGTCACCCCTCTCCAGCTCCAAAGTGGATTTAAAAACCAACAGCCTACAAATACAATGAAAACTAGCATTCTGGCAGTCACTAGTGGGACCAGGATGGGTTGGAGTTCTTTCAAAGCCTCCTTCCCAAAGAATTGTCACTATTTGACCTGTTTGGCAGCCCTGGGCCTCAGTTGTAAGGATATCTTTATTTGATCTGTCAAAAAAAAGTTTCCCAATGTGAAAAACTTGTTGAAACAATTAGAGGCAATAAATTATCTTTGGGTGCCTGAAGCAGTGGATAAAGAGTTGGGGAAGGCAATAGCTAAGCAAAAAGTATAATGGGAGAATCCTGGGAATGAAATGTCTATAGGGACTTTGTAAAGCTCCAATATGTTACCAGGAATCTATGGTTCTAGGCCTGCATAGGACTGCGCATATGCTTTTCTTCCAGGCTGACCTTGAGACTAATATCAGTAACAGGAAATCTACTTTCACCATTTCTATTCAACATTGTATAGAAGGTTCTAGCTAAGGCAATGTAAAAGGAATTCAGACAACATTATCTTGTCTGTATGAATCCTAAAGACCTACAAAAGAACTTTAAGGGTTCAGAAAGGTTGCAGGATACAAAGATAAAATTATTCAGAGTCTATATACTGAAGCATTGAAAATAAAATTAAATATTACAAAGAAGAAAATAAGAGTGAATAAATTTGATAAGTACAAGACTTTTCCATGAAAAAGTATAAAGACATCTTTTAAAGAAATGAAAGAACAACACTTAAATAAATGAAAAGGAACCTGTGTTCAAGTGGTAGAAGAATTAATATTGCTCTACAGATCCAACACAATCCCTATAAAAATCTCATTTGGCTTCCCTGTAGAAATTGACAAGTCGGTCCTAACATTCATAAGAAAATGCAAAGGACCCAGAATAGCCAAAACAATCTTGAAAAATAACACAATTTGAGGACTCATATTTCCAAATCTGAAAACATACAGCAAAGAATAGTTATAAGGAAAATGCCCTTGTAACTACCACTAGGTGAAGACACAAATGCAGCTTCTCCAAAAGCTCTCCTTATATCCCAGCTAAATATTAACCCATTTTTGTATAAGAGTAGTAAGTCTCCTAATGTATAAAGTAACTTCCTTATATCATGTCTTTATAGTTTCTTCAACAAAGAATGCACATCTAAACTCAATAGTTTAATCTGATTAAATAAAAAAAAAATGAAGACCTAACTTAAGGCAGCCCTACAACCCTTCCTATCATCTTAACGGAGATCACTAGGGTCCCTCTTACCTAATAAATTAATAAATTTTTAATAAATTTGGCAGAGATTAAAATATTTTGATATCGAAGCAGTTGACATTAAGAAAAGTAGAAAGCCATGAACCTTCCTTGTTCCACCAAAACAAACAACCAACCAAACAAAAAAAAAAACACCTCGCAGATAAGTCCTCTTAGTGAGAAATCCAGAAACTAATTGAAAGACTCTTGCACCCCAAGCAAATGTGAAACCCAGACTCACCAAAGTTGGTACAAAGAAGAATTAGGACACTATCTTATTATAATCCCTACAACTGGTGCAGTACCATATGATCTGGAAGGGTCAGACCCTCTATGTCCCAGCTTCTCCCAGGGGAGAGGCAGTGTTGATTCACATGCCTAGAGTCCAGAATGGGAATCCCTAGAGGACTGGTTTCTACTGACTTGGAACTCTGACATATCTGGAGTATCTAGTTACCTATGGGAGAATGGAGCTAGCAGTTTGGGCTGGCAAGTGCCATGAATTCTTCCCAGTACTTAGTGCAGAGCATGCAGATGACAAATTCTAGCTTTTAGCTTCCCCCCAGGGAGGGGAAAAAGATGATACTTATGTCCAACACTGCAACTTCTCCAGGGCCTTGCAAAGCATTAATATTTGTCTTGTCAGTCTTGGAGCCCTGACAGGTCCAGTGCAATCTAAGCTGCCTCTGGGAGAACAGAGATGGTGATTTAGATTTATTTTATGCCATAGAACCCTGCCCCTTTCCTGGCTCAAAACAGATGAGTAGACAAAAACCACAGATAACTGCTTCTCCTTAGGGAGAGAATAATTTGATGGAAGCTCCAGAATCTCTGTCCAGGATAACTGGTAGAAATCTTCTCCACAAGGACAGTCATTGAGGATAGGGATAGGCGCATGCTTTGTCTAATACACAGAGAGTCAAGGAAAATTGACTTTCACACACACACAAAATGTTCTAAACCAATGACAAAACAATATGTCTTAAAACAAATTCTAATGAAACAGAATTATGTAATTTGCCTGACAGAATTCAAAATAATTACCATATAGATTTTCACTAGTGAAGAGAACAACACATGAACTAAGTGAGAATTTCAACAGATAGAAAATGTAAAAATTTACCAAGTAGAAATCATAAAGCTAAAGAACGCAATGATTGAACTGCAAATTTCACTAGAGGGTTTCAACCTCAGTCTAGATCAAGCAGAAGAAAGAATTAATGAACCTAAATATAGGTCATTGGAAATAATCCAGTTAAAATAGAAATAAAAATGAAAAAAGGGAGAAAATCTAAGGGAAATATGGAACTCCATTGAATGGACTAATATATACATTATGAGATTCTCACAAGAAACAAGAAAGAGAAATATATATATATATTTCTCTCTATATATTTTATTTATATAAATACTTCTCTCTATATATATGCATACAACATATTACATACAATATGAATGTATGTAAATTGTGACAAAATAACACAATTTGTATGTATACATACCTATATATGCATATATATATATATATGTATACACCACATACCCACCACACATATACACATATATAACTAATATATAAAGCAGACTTTTTTTTTTTTTGCCACTGAGCCACATCCCCAGTCCTATTTTGTATTCTATTTAGAGACAGGGTCTCACTGAGTTGCTTAGTGCCTCGCAGTTGCTGAGGCTGGATTTGAACTCGAGATTCTCTTGTCTTAGCCTCCCAACCTGTTGGGATTACAGGCATGCACCACTGTGCCTGGACAGAGATTTTAATATCTTACTTTCAGTAATAAGATAGAGCATCTAGACAGAATACCAATAAGGAAATAAAAGTGTTTTAACAGCACTATAGACTAATTGGACTTAATGGACACAGAGAGACCATTTCATCCAATAGCAACAGTATACACATTTTTTTTTCAAGCATAAGAAGAACTTTCTCAGAATAAATAACATGTTGGGTCACAAAACAAATTTTAATATATTTAAAAAGATTAAAATCATACCAAATGTCTTTAATGACCATAGTGGAGTGAAACTAGAAATCAATAGTAAGAGGAAAACTGAAAAACTGACAAATACTTAGAGATTAAATAAGACACTCAAAAAACCATTGGGTTCAAGAAGAAACCAAAAAATAAATTAGAAAATACCTCAAGGCATATGAAAATGAAAACACAATAGATAAAGAATTATGGGATATAGAAAAAATAGAACTAAGAAGGAAATTTATTACAAATGCCTACATTAAAAAGGAAAAGCTAGATTAAGAAAACCCCAACTTTATGCCTTTAGGATCTAGAAAAGAAGGATGAACTAAGCTCAAAATTAGCAGAAGAAAGGAAATAACAAAGTATAGAGCAGAAATAAATAGAATATGAAAAAGCAATCAGAAAAATAATCAACAAATCATAGTTTGTTTTCATAAAGATAAATAAAATCTCTATGAACCCTTAGCTAGACTAAAAATAAAAAGAAGATTAAAAAATCACAAGTGAGGGCTGGGGATGTGGCTCAAGCGGTAGCACGCTCGCCTAGCATGCGTGCGGCCCGGGTTCGATCCTCAGCAGCACCACATACC